TGATTACCTGTGGTGATCGCTACTGAATGTACACAAAGTGTGTGTTCAGCAGCCATCACTGTGGATAACCACTAACTGTGTGAATAGTCACAAATAGCTGCAGCACCCAGTAACCTGTCATAGTTTACTGTATGGCTTGTCGACTGCAGCTAACTGCTCACTGGTGTAAAAAACAGCAGCAGGAATCAGCAGGTTCATGCCGCTGCCATTCGCACCGTGGCTAAATGCCCCTGGACATGTAGCCTAAATTAGTAGTTCCCAATAGCTGTTATGTCAGAAAAGCCTTTAAATTCTTCTCCCTCCACAATATATCCTTCTGTGCATGTAGTTACTCATAAAATATTGCTATGGAAGAGGTTAATAACCATTTTAAAAAAAAAAAACTTCTCTGGCTATATCCCCTCCAAGCTGATCCAGTGCATGGATGCTGAGGGAGAGAAATGTTCAGAGGGAGGGCAGGTACACTGATAGTAAAAGCCTGGTTATGAGCCGTCTTAGGCTAAAAGAGTGCTGTACCACAGAAGAAGAAAAATACTGAATATAATTATCCTTTCAAAGTGAGAACAAGCAGCCTGGGGAATCTGACTTGACACAGCTTCAGTGTGGAGAGAGCAATGCAGGAACTGACACCAGCAGGAATAAAAGTGGTGGGCACCAGCCGTATCACTTTTTCTGTATGCAGCCACTGGCCCGCTACATTGTTTGGGAGGTGGGTCTGCCAGGACTTCCCTTGGGTGCCGTCCTTGATGCTGTCGAGTGCCACCTCTGGCACTAGTGCCATGGGTTACCTACCCCTGGTGTAGGGTGTGTACTAATGAGGTCACCTGGTGAACTCCTATATCTTAACAGTTTTAATATAATAATGTCAGTCCATGAACTAATGGGAAAGTTAATAATACAAGAATCTGGATACTGAGGTAAGGGCTGGTGTAGGATATTATAGAATTCGTTTTCTTTTCTGCAACATTGATGGTATATTGGTACATAGGGAAGCTGGAATTTAGGAAAAAAAGTGAACTTAGCCTTTTAAGCGGTTATGCCTCCTATTTGATAGAAGTGACAGGTCCTCTTTATGGAGACATTGGGGGGGGGGGGGGGGTCTATTAGACATCTTATGCCTTTTGTTCCCGTAGCCTATGCAGATCAGGAATAGAGTGTCCTCAATCTAATTGTAGACGCAGCAGCTCTGTCAGGATCCTGAAAGCTTCTAACAAAGAATTGTTTAGAGCAGAGGATGTCCTCCAATATCCACCTGTCAGCATCCTGAAGACTCTCAGCCATTCTAAACCCACTGGCACTAGTCTTGAGCCCACAGAGGTATGAGAGAGAGTTCTAGGACCAGGAAGCAGGGCAGCCATTACACAACCAAATACTGCAGCAGCAAGTAGATGTGATTGGGTGGCAGTGCAGCTGCCCAGGTAACTTCTACATATCAATATAACTGATACCCTGCATAATTAAAAGAATACAAACCAGATTATCCAAATTTATCTACAAACTTTCCTATTCCCTTCTAGATCATTTCCCAACATTGATTTATTTCCACTCTGTTCCTTTGACGAGAAATGTCTTTTATTGGTTCCTGTGACATCATCTCTAAAATCTTACAGAGGCAGCTGTTGGTTTCTAATGATGTAGGCAAGTCCCCAGAACTACATCTTTTGAGAGTCTTTTCCCTTCCTGCATTGTGTGGGCAGGTTAGAAGTCAAAGCAGTAGCACTATTCTGCTGGAAAACAAATGCATGCGATGGGAATGAGAGGGGGGTGGGAGAAAAAAGTTCTGTATTCCAGTAGGCAAGGCAGACAAGCTGGTTGGGATTTCAATGCAGAAATGCTTGTGATGACAAGTTTTTGTTTTCGTAAAATAGGTTTTACATTCCCATAGACTTGTATGGACAAGCTTATGGAGTGCAAAACCCACTTGAATGAACCTGACAATGAATTTTAAATGATTTCAAAAGTGTCTCAAACTGATGCCATTGACAAAAGTCCCAAGCCCGCGTTGATACAGACTCTTAGGCACTGTGTTATAAGCCCAAACAAAAAGCTAGGAGCACACTGGTTTCCTAGTAGATCAAAAAGTATCATTCTGCAACGTTTTTAAACAGCTAAAATATAGGAAATGTGCATATAGGGCAGCTGTACTGAATGTTTTTTTTTTTATTTTGCCCAGATATACAGTACACTTTAATCAACATTGTTTTCAATCATTGCATATTATATGTTATGAAAGAAAATGCAGCTTTAAAATGTTTCTTTCATTAGACATTGTAAGCACAGGCCTACATAAATTAATGTTTTCAGTCTCACCTCTGATCTCGAAGTGGAGGTCTCCAAGCACTGCATCCAGCTCTTTGGTCCGTGCACTTCTGTAGTGGAGTCGATCTTCTGCTAGAAACTGTTGAGAAAAAGATTATATTTAGGGGTGCCATGCTGTGTGTCCTAAGCTGTGTTGTGTCGTATGCCCCATGATGTGCCATGCTGTGCTGTGTGCCCCATAATGTACCATGTTGTGCTGTGTGCCCCATGATGTGCCTTACTCCCATGTAATGTGCCCTACCCTCATGTAATATGCCCTGCCCTCACATAGTGTGCTCTGCTCCACCATACTGTGCCCTGCCTTCCAGTAATGTGCAAAGCATACAAGTGTACACTCCACTCAGTGACCATGCAGGGTCTCACATATCTCAGAGATAGAAAATGTTAGTATGGGACATTAAAGAAGTATACATGTAACAGGGTTACACACTCCAGTTTAAAAATTGGATTGTAAATGTAAACAACAATAAACAGATCTTAATCTCCCAGATATGGAGGGTCAAAGTTAATTTGCCCCAATGTTTATCAAACATTTTTGTTTTTTATGCAATTCAAAAAAGGAGTCTACATAAAAGGGAGAGAGTCATTAATAAGCTTTAGCCACTAAGATACAATAGGTAAAACCAACCTTTTCCAAGACAGTAAGATTACCTTTTTAGCGTAGAAGTACAAAATACAGGAAAGGTAATTTTTAATAACATTCAATTACAATATGAATTGTGTATCAATTTTATATGCTATATTATTTTTTTATTTGCTACTTTGTTTCCACAAAAGTGAAGTTACCCTTTAAACTTTCATCTATTTAAAAACATGTTTAAAGTATAGCTTGTGATATTATATGTCCAATAGAACTATTGTATTTCCTCATATGTAAGCTTTTTTATTATGTGTCCTGCTTATCCTCTTATTGCATAGTAAACACATAGACATGGTCAGTCTGGTTTGAAAGAAAAAAAAAGGTCTCAAATGCTTGGTAACAAGAGGTCATGTGCTTCCTTAGTCTCAGAAGTCAGGAGCAACACCTTTTTTAAATTCATGACAATAGGTACTTGTTTATTCAGAATAATAACTTGACTTTTTGAGGGATATACGTCTAAAAAAAGATTCCAGAATGAACTTATACATTGTGACACAGAAGCAGCTGAGTCTAAGTTAGAAAACAGTGTGCACCAACATGTGGTATAATGGGGTTACTGTAGTCTATTTACAGTATGCATATTGTGATTGGCAAATGAGCTAGAAGATAGTACATTTCTTACCACAAATTCCAAACCTTCAATCTCAAAGTCAGTTTTGTCCTTCATGAAAGCTAGACGTTCAATTGACAAAAGGAAACCAATCTAGAGGGGATTATAAATCATTTTACAGAAAGGAGAACAATTCAACAAATACAAGTGATCTTATACCTTACAGATATACAGTAAGTGAAACCTACACTTCACAGCTTAGTGTGCCTTAAAGCTGAAAGGTGTAGAATGCCTTACAGTGCTTTGCATGCAGTAACACAAATACTTGACAGAGTCTTTCTGAACAAGAATGTATCTATTACAATTATGCAGAGCCATAAGAAAACAAAGATCTATCCACCAAATGAACATTTTGGTTCATATTCTCTGACCTTCTATTAATGTTAAAGCAAAACTTTAGGACATACTCCCTTCTTAGTGCAGTAACAGTTCTCTGAACTGAAACAAATGTACCTCTGGTGACTTTCTTCTCTGATCTGGCCTCTTTAAGTAGTTGCACCGGTTGCAGAAATGTTCTGTTGCTAAACCCTCACACTGACTACATCAGTCAATTCTAGATGCAGTGAAGAAGGTGTGTTATATATTGGTTATCCTGCTAATGATCGATGACACTGTTGTTCTTATCACCCCAAACAATGACTATATAACTGATGGCATGTTTTTAAGAGTTCTTATATCTAGTATTGTTGCTGTTCAAACCTAAAAGAACAGGATACATTATTTCAATACTTTTACTGACCCAAAATAAACTGAAAACAGTATGTGCAAGTATGATAATTGGCCGAGGTAAGTTTCCCCATTTCTTGGGTGTGCCACACAACTCACAGAATTAATCAACACTATACAGACAATTCTCAATCATTTCTATTACCATTGAGCATTTTTATAGCGTTTCTATTTTTTAACCACAAGCCTACAGGGAACTTATACCCCCTTCCTGCCCAGGCCAATTTCCAGCTTTCAGCACTGTCACACTTTGAATGACAATTGCGCGGTCCTGCAACACTGTACCCATATGAAAATTTTTATCGTTTTTTTGAGACAAATAGAACTTTATTTTGATGGTATTTAATCACCTCTGGGTTTTTTATTTTTTCTTAAACAAACCAAAAACCACTGAAAATTTTGAAAAAAAAATATTTTTTTTTTCATAGTTTGTTAATTGTGTGATTTTTCTCCTTCACTGATGTGCGCTAATGAGGCTGCAGTGATGGGCACTGATAGGCTGCACTGATGGACACTGATAGGTGGCACTGATGAGGTGGCACTGATGGGCATTGACAGGCATCACTGATGGGCACTGAAAGGCAGCACTCATCTATGGCACTGATAGGTGTCACTGACTGGAACTGATAGGCGGCACTGACTGGCACTGTTAGGTGGCACTGACTGGCACTCATAAGCGGCATTGATGCGCACTGATAGGTGGCACTGCACTGATAGGTGGCACTGATTGGCAGCACTGATTGGCATTGATAGGTGGCACTGACTGGCACTGATGAGTGACACTGAAAGGCAGCTCAGATGGGCACTGATATGTGGCATTGATTTGCACTGGTAGGCACTGATATGTGGCATTGATGTGGCACTGATGAGCACTGAGAGCTGGCACTGATGGACACTGACAGGTGGCACTGCTGGGGCTACACTGATCATCAGGGCACACTGATCATCAGTGCTCTGATGATCTGTGTAGATGTCCCCCCTCGGAATGCTGATTACCGGCTCTCCTCTCCTCTCAAGCTGTCAGCGTGACAGCTAGTGAGGAGAGAAATGCCGATAACCGGCATTTCCCTGTTTACATGTGATCAGCTGTGATTGGACACAGCTGATCACATGACCGAGCCGACATCTTCGGCTCTTTCTGTGGATCGGTGATCCGCTGTGTCCGAGGGACACAGCGCACTGCCGATCACTGCGCTGCACGCTCCCTGAGCCGCGCAATGCGCGGTGAGAATGGGAGGACATCGTATGACGTCCTCCCAGAATGAGAGAACCACCTTGTGCCCGTCAATGGACTATATGGCAGGCGGAAGGTGGTTAAGATACGCTGTGGTTTATTTACTAAAGCTGGACAGTGCAAAACAGGCTCACTTCTGCATAGAAACCAATCATCTTCTAACCTCAGCTTGTTCAATTAAGCTTTGGCAATAAAACCTGGAAGCTGATTGGATTCTATGCAGAAGTGAGCCTGATTTTGCACTCTCCATATTTAATAAATAAACCCCACTGTGACCAGCCTAAGCAACTTGCAGGTAAAAGCACAGACAAAGCAAATATTTGAAATTCTCATTTTCACTGTTTTTCCTTTCTATGAACATTTTTTTAATTGATTTGCAATGTGCCTCTAAACCTCTTAGGGAATTGACAATCCAGAAATTGTCAATTCCCTGTCACCCTAGCACTTCTCTCTCCCTCCTTGCACATCATAGCCCACTTCTCTTCTGGAATTGTCTAGTTACTGTCTGAGCTGGCACAGCTCCTTTGCCCCTCCCCTCATGTCCCTACATAATCTTTTATGTAATTGCCAGCTGAGGCAGTCATTGAAGACTAATCTTGAATGACAGTTCTGAGTCTGCAGTAGGGTTGCCACATTGTCCCTTTAAAGTCGAACACATATTAATTAAACAGGTTCTGTGGCTGATTAAGGTGGTAATTAAACTCACTTAGTGCCTTATCCGCATTAAATTAGCCTCAGAACCTGTGTAATTAATGTGTTTGGTTTTAAAGGGATGCAGGGCTTCTGACATCACATCCCAAATGCAGCAGTCTGCACACGGGAGACGTTTGTAGGTAAAAAACACACCTAAAATACATTAAATGCAAATATCTTATGGAAAACTTTGTTGAAACGAATGGTCTGGTGACATGGTCTTTTTAAGGCCCTGCTACATTTTTTGGCCATTTGCATGGTGCAATATACATTCTAACCAGTAGATGTCAGTATATGAATAGAAATAGACATTTCTATCATATCCAGCAGTATTGAGTGATTAAACCCTGAGAAAAGTGGATGTGTCATCCATACCAATCCGCTGCCCTTTAAAATCTTTCCTTCAGCAGCAAAACTGGTTGCTTTTGACTATGATTCTGCATTTATTCCCATTTGTATCTGTTTTCTAGCTTTAGCTGGTCAGGCCCATATGTGATGTATTCTGTACAATTTTATATAAAATGTATACAAATGTAAACACTTATATTTATTTTTCTGACCAGTTTCATTTATCAAGGTCATCATACAGCTAGTAGTAAACCATTGAGTACCAGCCTGTAATACCCCCTTCATTACCAGACCATTTTTCAGTGCTGTTATAGTATGACTGAAAATTATGCAACACTGTAAAGAAATGATCTTATAATTTTTATTAGAGATATAGAGTTTCTTTTAGTGGGATTTAAAGTGATTCTAAAGGTCCCAATTAAAATACACAAAAACAAAAAACATATCATACTTACCTGCTGTGTGCATTGAGCAGCCCAAATCCTCCTCTTCTTTGGTCCCCTGTCCGCACTCCTGGCACCTCCCTCCTGCTGAGTGCCTCCAGAGAAAGCTACTTGCCCTGGGGGCACTCGGTTCATAAGACAGACAGACAGACAGAGAGAGAGAAAGAGAGAGAGAGAGAGAGAGAGACTCAGCCCCGCCCTCCGCTCCCTCCTCACTGGCTGTGATTGACAGCAGCAAGAGTAAATGACTCCTTAAGCCTTTAGAACCACTTTAATAACCACTGGGTTTTTATTTTTTTAGAAGGGAAAAAAAAAAAGGTAGAAAATAAATTGTTACTCTTACTTCCTGTTTAAAAATGCAAGAGTAGTATGAAAACCCCTCAAACGACTCTTTTTGGAAAGTTGACATCCCAAGGTGCTCTCCATTGTTGCCACAATTTTTTGGAAATGAAGAAACATGCCAGTACTAACAGAGTTAAACATGGAACTTGAGAATGGTGTACAAGATACATTAATGTAGAGGTCATACATAAGAAGGAGAAAGTGAAGGGGTTACTGTACTGGTCACATACATTAGCAGGATGGAGATAAAGGGGTTAATGTTCAGATATGAAGTATAATGGAGGTGAAAGGGTTAATTTACTTGGTTGCCTAGAGATAGTATGTGTAGGAGAGGAGGGGAGGCATGAAAGGGTTAATAAAACCTGATACTTGTGTTATTGAAACAGAATCAATGGATCTGCAGCTGCTGATCCATTTATTCTGTCCCTATTAACAATTACACAATCTCTCTCATTTTCCTGATGTAAGGGGAAGGGGAGGGATCAGAACTGTAAAGAGGACCATGCGATAGCTGTGATGACCAATCACAGCAATCACATGGTATCCAGGCCAACAGATCAGCTGGGCACAGTTTCTGTGTACCCAGCTGTCTAAAGACAGCTCAGTAAGTACATTGATAACCAGGCGGAGCAGCTTCCTAAAGCTATTTATCCAGTTTCATTCATAAACGGCACTGGGTAAATAAAAGGCCGCTGATTAACCGCTAAAAACATACCACGGAAAAAGGGTGGTTGAAGAAGAACTGAAGTCTGCAAGCACTAAAGCAACTAGCCCAGAAAAAAACATGCGGAGGTCAAAAGGACTAGCCATTAGTATTTCCTGTGATGTCCCTACAGATGAACTTTCCTGATCTCTGACTTACCCAGGTCTTGTTCTGCTTTGTGCCTCAGTGTTGACTCTGGAGGCATCCATCTTGATAGAAGGCACAACTTTGCTTCCACATATCAGAACTTTCAGCAATGACATCAGTGAGAAGCACAGTAGTAACATCGCCAAATCTGAATCCAAATCTTTTGAAACTAACAGTCAGAGGCAGCAGTACCTTAGATCCTACAGTGCAGATATACAGCTACTGTATAAGGCCTGGCGCGGTGTTTGGGTTTGCTAGAGCAGCCCCAAAAATGTTGCTAGCACTCCTAAAGCACCTACATCTCTGCGAACACTGACAGAGCTTTTTTTTGGCTGGCCACCACTGTAATGTCATCGCCCCCTTGCCAAGCACATTACGTGGCACAAGCTCATGCTGCCCTCATTCCTCTCCCTGCAGTTTCCTGGGCTGTAGTTCCATTAGGATCCACCTCCAGGTATGCACCACCAGTTGGGCACATGGATTCCAAGGATGCAGGAACATGGTAAGTAATCGTGAACAGCTAACCAATGAATGAAAGTAGGTGGGGGTGTTGCACAGGTGACCTGTGACTAGAAGAAGTGGGAAGAGCATAGGTAACCAATGGTTGGAGGGGAGAGAGCAAAGGTGACCAATAGATGGAGGGGGTGACCAGTTGATGGAGTGGGGTGCATAGATGACCAGTGGAGGGTGATCAGAGGTGACCAGTGGATGGAGGGAGTGGCAGTGCACAAGTGACCAATGGATGGAGGGAGGGGTGCAGAAGTGACCAGTGCTCAGGAAGCACATGGACCACCAATGTAAAGAGGGCACACTGGCCAACAGTGTTCAGGGGGCACACAGACCACTAGTGTACAGGAGGCACACTGACAACAGTATACAGGGGCACTGACCATTAATATACAGGGGGCACAATGACCACCAATTGTAAGGGAGCACTCTTAGAAAGTAATGTTGCACACAGTCCTGACCCCTACACTCTATAAGCTTCACAGTACTGACCCCTTCAATGTTGAGGGCTAATTATTATGCAGTGCTGAGGATACTTTAACATACAGTGCTGAGGGTTTATTACCATGCTGTAGATGGAGTTAACTATTGTGCCATGCTTGGGATTTCTCATTGTGCTATGATGGGGGTTAATTGTTGTGTCATGCGAAGGGGTTAATTATTGTTCAGTGCTGGGGTTTTATTATTGTTTCATGCTGGTAGTTAATTGTTGTGCTGTTCTGGGGGTTAAATACTGTACTGCTCTGGATGATAATTTTTGTGAAATGCTGGGGCTTAATTATTGTACTGTGGGCTAATTATTGTGACATGTCTTGGGGGTATACTTGGGGTTATCATGGTTAGCCCTTGCACTTGCTGGGGGTTATTATCACTGGTCCCAATTGGGCTTGTTTTACTTTCGCCAATCTTTTCAGTGTTTACCAAGGCCCTTTTTTGTCTATATAAAGGAGAAAGGTGGCACACTACAAACCAAAGACTGTGAAGAAACACCCATTTTTTGGTCAGTGTGCAGCAGGCAGCATGATGTAGGTGTTGCACTGGCTTCCCCACTTTTCCACCCAGGACCCTCAATAAAATTATCTGGAGTTTTCCCTTTATGAGGCTGTGTGCACCATCAAATACCAGGAAGTGCTCTGCTATTTTTCAGGAGATATTCTAGAAAAAAGGTACAATTTTCAGTGTACAGCTTAGGCACAATTATCATTTTAAGATGTTCCCTATAATACAGTAAATCTTTTTCAAATTCAGTTCCACTTTATTCACATTAAACTGTACTTGTTTAGAAATGTTGAAGGTATTTTTGCACTTACCCAAATGGGTTTTCTTAGTTTTAATGTGTTTTCCAAGAATATTTAAAGCACCATGGTGATTGAGTAATGTAAATAAAAGCAGGGTGGTTTTACAAACATTTACACATCTCCTGTAATGTTCTTGGATAATCACCATCTGTCTTGACACATTTCATGACCACACAATGATCAGATTAAAGTAAATGAGTTACCTGTATGGCTATAAATCATGGGGTAAATGAGGAAGCGCCACTTATGTAGATGAGTAGTGAAAAGTCTCATATATTACATACCTAGTCCAGTTAAATGTGACTAACTACTACTAGCTATTTATACAAATTGTCTTTCATAAAAGGCAGTTCTGTGTCCCTGGGTTTCTCTTACCAGGGGG